AGTGGGGGCCGGGCCCCGCCCGGTGCCCGCCCCGCCCCGCCCGCCGCTCACGGGCCGGGGCCGCGGCGGCAGTCGCGGCCGAGAGATGGCGGGGGGCCGCGGGACCCCGGCGCGGCGCTGAGTCCCGCCGCCCTCCGCACCCCTGCAGCCGCCGCCGGGACCCCCGCGGAGGTAAGAGCCTCTCCGGGCGCCGGGGCGGGTGCCCGGCGAGGGGGGCGCCCCGGGAGAAACTTTCCTCCGCTCGGAACTCGCGTGTGTGTGGGTCGGTCTCTCTCCCTGACCACCACCCCACGCCGCAACTTGCCGGTGAAGTGGGCAGGTGGGGCACGGGCTGGTGCTGGCGGTGCCGTGCTGGGACCCCAGCCCCGCGCTGGCGGAGGCACCGGGTGCTGTTGAGCCCCCGCGCTGCCCGCCTCGCAGAGGGGTAGTACCGGGGCAGGGGATCCGTGCCGGTCCCCCCGCTCCGGGCAGCGCGCCCCGGTCCCGCTCGGGGTGGGGGGACTGTCCGAGGGGACGGGGGCTGGCGGGGGAGCTGCGGCAGGGCTCGGCGGCGAGGGGTGCCCGGGGAGGGAGTGCCAGGACACACACACACACCCCCCCGGAGAACGCCCGGCACCGCGGAGCAGGCTGCCGGAACCCGCCGCGGTGGGACGCCAAGCGCCGGCGGGACCCCGCGCCCCGGCGGGCTGGGGGTGCGCAGAGGGCGCCCGGGCGGGGGGCGCAGGGAACAGTCGGCGCTCCCTGGGAACAGGACAGGCCAGGCGTGCCGGAGCGCAAAGTTGTGCAAAGTTATTTCACGGGTGCGCGGGGCCGCGCTGGACATTTAGCATTATTATATTGTATTCCGTTGTTTTATTTCCTTTTTTTCCCCCCTTCCCGCTGGTGGCATCGAGCGCCGCGGCCGGAGGTGGGCCAGGCTCCCCTCCCGCTGCCTATCCTGCCTCTATTGGTTTTCCCTCCCAAAATGTTTCCTGCTCTCTCCCTAGCCCACGGGGACCAGGCGTGCAGGCAGCCCTACCACTCAACCACCCCCGGACACCCCGGGGGCCTTCTCGAGGCATCCCCTCAGCCCTGTTTGGAGGTTCGATCCCCTAAAGGAGCCCCTATTCCAGCTGAGAAAACCTTTCCCTAATTGCCCGGGTTCGGCGGCGCTGCATTGACCAGCCTCGGGAGGGGGGATAAAGCCGAGAAGGATTTTGATCTTCCTGCGGCGGCACCAGCAATAGCCAGATTTGAATTGCCAAAAAAACCCCTTCAAGCCCAGACAGCCCGGGGGCTGAGGGGTAGGAATGTGGCCGCTCTCCCCTGGAGTTCTCAGTTTCTCCGGAGTGCAGATGACCCTGGAAATGGAGATTTCCTGGCCAAGGTGCACTCCAATGGCCCGTTTCCCTTTTTGCTTCCTTGGAATTTGCCTTTCCCGGCCGGGCCTGGGTGCCCCCTGCTCACCGCCGGCCCTTTCCCCCCTCCTCGCCCTGCGCTTGCTGCGCTCCCCTCCTCTCCCTCTTTTCCTTTGTTTGCCATCTCGCTCCCTGTCTCTGACGCGTACGCCGCTCCATCCAAATGCAATAGTGGGATTTGCCAGAATTATTTCCTAAAGCTGCCGGGGAGAGGGGGAGGTTTGGATGGAGGGGGGTTATTTAACTGCAACAAACTGGAGTTTTGGCTGGTGGAGGAATTGGGGGTGCAGGCT